AGTCGTAACCAACAACTCAATTCAAAATATTCAACAATACCTTTTATTCATTCAAGCATTTCATAATATTYGATGTTCAGTTATTCGTGACATTTTCATGATGTGCATGATATAAATAAAGATGSCYGACGATAAAAACACATTTTGATGTGTAAACCGTTTTTTATTTCATTTGTTTCTATATCTAATTATGTATTATTAACCTGATTCAAAAAGGATGCATCATCAAAACTACGACCGAAGGGGAGCATGGGAAATCAAGTATTACACAAGGATTTAACAGTGTTTCAGCATCCAAAAGATTGCACTAAATAAAATGGCCTTCTCTACGAGTAAATGCTATGATGTACATTTTGGTTTTAAGTTAATCTCTTGCGTTGTTCAAACTCGCTGTTCTCACCGTTGTCAAACATACTGAGGCTACATCAACACAGAGACTTTCCTCTAAACATGCCGTGTCGGCGATCTTGCTAGAAGTGGTTGCTGTGTCAGCGTTCGTACATATGCAATTTTCTGTTCCACAGCAGGTTAGTCATTGCATCACAAAGGACATGACATTTTGACAAATTGTACTGAAACACTCATGCATCAATTTGAAATGGTTCGTGAAGATTAATGTTGTGTCATAAGCCTGCTGCCACATTTCCTTGATGCATTGTCCTTATCACTGTCATCGCTAACCTCTTGGTCTCACCATCGATGCATATACCGATGGATGGCATTTTTTATGGATCTAATTATACAATATTGTATCGCAAGATAATTTTCCCATCAACCCACAATTTGAGTCTCAAACATTATAATTATGCATTCTAGTTGTAATACAAACGTACCAATTTAGTCTCGTTCACATCATCACATCCATTACATCATCACGTGACTCCACTCACGTGACTACTGTTACAGTTTATATAACGAACAGAAACTATACCAGACTAACACAAAACAGACCAACGAAGCACTTCTAACAAAGGTATTAACGCTAAAAGTTCGCATGCTAGATGCGCATTATTTATGAGATGTAAAAACGTTGTGTGMATCAAACCTTCTATACATTCAATATAATATATAAACAATACAGCAAAAATTGGTTGAAGGAAAAGAGAATTAATAAGGGTACTTTCTCCTGCGAAACAGTCAAGTCAAATATTAAAAGATTTCATTGTAAATATATAAAATTTAAAATGAAGTCGATTGGCTTTAAAAWACTTAATAAAACGAACAATTTAATATTACTACCCAAGAAAGACACGGCGAATTAAATAGTAGAACTAMGAATTTGTGGTTTTCCGCTAGTATATAATGAACCATGTAATTAATGGGCATTTTTTTTAGTTATTTTTTTTTGTGTTTGTTCTTGCGTTGTCCATATATGAATCAGCGGGATTCCTTAATGTACTGATTCTCTGTCTTACATATGGGATTTCACTTTTAGATGGCACTTTATATCGTTGCGTTTGTTTTAATGCTGTTCGTCCTCGCTGTCAACGCGTCCACCTACTCATCATGTCAGAATGCTTGCAACTGCAGCAGCAGGAACACGGGGGAACTGGTAGTGAAATGTCGTTTACAAGAAAACACAACCTCGCTTTTACACCTCCCTCCAAACATCACTGAACTGTAAGTATACATTTTGGTTCTTAATTCTCTGATTGGGAAGCAAGATCTGCATGACATGCGAAGAAAAATAAAAAAAAAACAGTCCTCAACTCAAAAAAGCGGCAACCTCAAATATTCCTGGGATAAACAACTTTGAATATACATGTTTTTTTTTTCTATAACATAAAAACATTGAATTTTGCCTTGATCAAAAGTTGGAATTCTTTAATGACAATGTTCTTATGGACAAGTACAAAACCTCTATGTTACACATTTTCGCTGCTATGGATTGAAATGTTATGTAAATACAAGCTGTTGTTTATCTGTATGCGATCAGCTTAGTAATAATGACCAAAAATTWTAATTGCTTATGTAAACAACATCAATATAGGGGCTAGTAATTGACAACATGGAGGCTTTTTGCAATATTGAGGTTGTGTTTCCGTGTTTTTGTTAAATTGAAGGACTTTCTGAACTACACTACTATTATTACTGTTAGGAAAATTGATAATATTAGGTATCGCTGTGTASTGATTAAAAATATTAAGCCAAGCAAATAAGAATAAACTCCTTACAATTTCATTCAGATAAAAAGATGTTAGCTCATCAAACCAAGAAACATAWAGAAAACAAACTGCTAGAGGCGTTTCAAGTTAAATATGGATAGAAAAATATATAGGACGTTAACAATATTTTTTTCTTGTCATTAACGGAATGAAAATAATTCAAAACGASTTTATTGAACTCTATTGAAAATTCAAATATGCCTACAGCAAGTTTCATTATAAAACAAATTCCACTTTCCTGTAGGCTCTATGGTATACTAAACGCGCAGTGTGATCCGACAGTGTGATCCGACAGTTTTAAAATGAAGCACTTAGGATTAAGCGTCAATCTTGAAAGCACAACATCGTCGGGAAAATATCACCTTTTGAAACCAGATGTCCGTGCAGCAATGATATATGAAGAAATCATTAGAATAATTGAAAAATTTCTTYTTATTTCAGTTGAACAGTCTAAATAAATAAGGATTATATGGGAAACCTTGTATCGGCCGTTTTGTTGACAAATAGAGGATATTACATGGGCACCAATATAATGTTGTTTATCATTCTATGTAAAGTCCAATAAGTCAAAACAATTGGACAACATTTACTATAGAAAATCCGTGGTAAACGTGTAGCTTAAAATAAAAATATATCATGTTATTTTCACATGTGTTGATATAACAATCTTGCGCGAAAGACTACCTGGTTTTTAATATATAGACCTAATCGGCTAACGCAATGTACGTTTGCTTCTAAGAATTCA